GGGGTTTTGTCACCTAAACAACGAAACCACTTCTTATGACAGTCGTGAAAAATTTTCAAACATCTTATAACATCATGTATACAAGAGAACTAGCGTATTTGCATTATATGAACTATGGGTATCACTCAGCTTTGCTAAAACGTGAGATTTTTTATTCTGTGTTGAAGTCGATAAAGTTCACAAAAATGATTATAAAGACAACTCATTTGCGACAATTTCTTTCAAACCATAGTTTGTGTTCCAAAACCGCTAATACAATGAATTTTTGCATCTGTTATAAACCTGACTTACAGTACGACCTTGTTCGGAACAAATTATGTAAATTAGTTGGATACCGCTCGATAAAACACTATAATAACAAAATTATTTATTAAATCTGGATTACATTATATAATTACCTGGTACATCCTTTTTCCTTTTGGTTTTTGGCGCTGCTAGCTGCCACATCTCAGCCAGCCCACGCTGTCGCTTTTCCGCCATTTTGCTCGTCTTGGAATACAGAATATGTTGTCTTAAATAGAGCAGTTTCCGTTGGAAACTGCTGCCTCTAAATCTGAGCCTGTTTCCTTTGCTGAACGTTCGATCGGCGTATGCAAGCAGATTCAAGCGATGGTGTGGCGAAATTCTCAACGAAACTTTCAAGTTTATTAACTCAAAAACCTTTGTGGACACTTGGCTCTTTTACGAAAACTTTATTTATTTCATAATTTATTTACCCAAGGGAAAGTAGGCGTCGCAAATGGAAAAGTTGCCGTTGGATGCGACGGCCGACGGCTGTTTTTGAAAACACTGTAAACTAAGCATTGATTTACGTAAAAGTGGTTATCCTAGGGTAAGCAAGAGTAAACGGGGTAAAACGTTTCTAAATTGGATTTCACATGGGTAAACGTGGTGAAACAAGGTCAATTATGGGTTAACATGGGTTCTCGGGATATAATACATTTATATGGTAATTACATGTTTCGGGACGCCTGCTGGGTCTAACATGTTTCGTTTTCGAGAAGCCATTTTGTTTGTTGTTATTCAATCAGCAGTGTTTCACGGCATATTCTAGGTCCTAGGACTCCTGATTAGTACACCAGGCTAGGTTTATTTGGAAGTAAATACGCGGAAAACACGAACTCGAAAAGATTCTGAAAAGTAATTTCGCTTTACTAAAATGCGTGATATCCTCGAGAATTACAAAAAGCAGAAATTAGATTGGGTTCTGAAATTGAGTATAGAGCTTTTCCTTCATTATGTGAAACAGCAGGCAGCCTAGCAGCACGAATTTCTTTTTTTTTGTGAGCATCCCTTTCCGTCGGCTTGGCCGCCAAGACTCGGCCGCCATGACTCGTTCCGCCTCATAAAACCCCATGTATTTAACTTTAGACGTTCTTTTCTACTTATTTACATCACATAATTTGTCTGCACTGATTAAACTGCGCGGCACATCGTGTGACAGACACGCTGCTTTCCGCATCGAGCCGCAACCGCCGTCATGTTGACAGTGCCCTTCTGAAGCGTAATGTGATACACCGCTGACGATTATTCACGAGTTCGAAATGTCCACGATTTCTGGCAATAAGCAGGCGTCGTAAGGGGAGCGGGATTGGGAGGAAGGGAAAAGGAGAAGGGGATTGGGGAGAGAGGGTAAGGTATAAAAAAGTAATTAAGTTTGCACCATGCTGAGAAGAGCCCCCTACTTGTGATTAGTCGCGTATTGACAAATGACATTATCGGATTAGTTAAGGAAATTGGTGGGCGGAATACAAAAACACCGGCTGTTATAGTAGGCGTTCCTTTCGCTTTTCCCTTTCGCGCTTTTCTCCCTCACCCCCTCCCCCTCTCCTTTTTCGCCTGCCAAGCAGGCTTCCCCTCGGTGTCCGTATTAACCGAGTTCCATTAACATTAAGAGGAAAGACAAGGTCAGGTGGAATGTTTTGGAGAGAAAAGCGGACAAATACGCTGTGGAAAGTCCTTACTGATTATTGATAAGAAATGATAGACTGAATTTTCTTCTTGTATTTAGGTTCTTGTTGTTTATTAGATGATTCAACCCACACTGGTGTGCTGGCGGAAGTCATTCCTTACCTTAGTAAAGGTTTGATAAGTCAGTTACAGCTTTTATTAGGAAAGAGACCATTGCATTTAAATACACAACCTATTTAAATGAGACGTTCTGGCAAAGCCTGAAAACCAATTCAGGCTCGTTGCACGGGATAAAGGTTTTAAAAATCCTCCGATACAAGTTTCATTACTTAACTACACAGTGTCTTTAGAAGGGTTATGATAACTTCAATGGTGGGGTTAAATTAATGGTTCGGAGCAATTTTAACTGCAAAAAGGAGGTATTTTCCTGTGTGATAGAACTAAAATGACTTCAAAGGAAGGGTTGTTTATTTTAACTCAAAAGTTCGGGATAAATATGGTGTTAAAACAAACCCCCAAAAGGGGTCATTCTGAACCTAAAATTTTAACTGCTCTTTTGGAGTTAAAATGCATAGTTTGCTGAAAAGTACTGTCTACTATACAGCTGTTCAGGTCGATAAAGGGACGTTTTTCTGTTGCGCGACGGTGCGCCAAATACTGAAGTATTTTATAAGTGCTCATACAGGAAAAGTGTTGTTAAGGAGTAAGGAGGGAAGTGGAGAAGGCAGAGTATTGTGTAGTGTCCAATGTACCAATATTACTTAGAAGAGTCGTTGTTTAGCGCGGCAAAAGATAATGCATTGGGTAAAGATTGTTTTTCTTTTAACTCTTTATTACAGTCATCCCTCACTGGTCAGGAAATGTTGCCAAACATGACAGGAGAGGCGATAAAGGGGCTCCAATCCTTCTCTTAGTATCATCAGCAGCCACTAGAGCTGTGGATCTGAATAGGTTAGTAGGAGATGGGTCTTAGCCAATCTTTGTTAAGGTCAACGTTTACATTTTGCCTTACTGGTAAATTAACTAAAGCAGTATAGTGGCGTTCTTTATCTACAACGCTGCCACGCTGTAGACGTTAATACCTGTAGACGTGAATCATAAGTAAATCAAACTCTTCTCTGTTATCAAAATCATTTCGAGAAAAAATGCACCATTCCTTTGAAGTGTGAGTAGAGATCTGGAAAATAACATGTAGTACGTGAAGAAAATACTGGACGGCAGAAGCAATTGAGTTCATGTGAAGAATACGACGTTTGAATTTGGATCGGCTCAGCCCAGCGTTCTTCACGCCTGGCTCAACCGAGAATACGGCTGTGGACCAGCTTTAATTCAGACGTCGAACTTAAAATGAGCAGAACAAAATGCATTAAATTTTTATAATGCAGTTTACCGAAATGCGTGTTTTTCCCTTTGAATTTTGTTCGGCTGGAGTAAAGATCGGCGTCTGGATCAATTCAGGTGGCCTTGATTCGGCCCATGTGACAGAAGTACGGCGTCTTACCCGGGCCTTACTGGCAGTGCTTTTCTTTTATTAGGGACTTTAAGATTCAACGACGCGGACGGTAACGAGAACGTAAAAAAAACCAATAGGTTTTATTAGCAAAACAACAACTTTGCACGTGCACCATGTTTTTTTGTACATTTCTCCGCCCGTTTTTGCACGACTACGACGTGAACATACCTAATTTCGCGTTTTACCAAGGACGTAAACAAGCAACGATGAAATTTTATTTCTCTTACTGTACTCGGATATGGTGCCTGGGAATTCAGCTCCAGGATGGTTCGCCTTCATTCGACAAAGTAAGTGGGTAGGAATAATTGCGATAAAGACCAAAAGAACGTAAATTCACTTTTTAAGCGACGTTCTCATTACCGTCGCTTTCTGAAGATAGAAGCGAGTAACTGCAATAAAGAGTCACGTGTAACGTGAGGATTTTTTTTGTGTATAGGTCAGCAGCAGAATTCAAAGGAAACTGTAAAACTGTTAAATTATTTGCCAAGCACATGAAGGTAATGTTACTTTTATCTTTAAGGGATTTCCATTTGTGCTGGGCAGGTGAAGGAGGCAGGAAACGATGGGTTTCATGGAAACAACATTCGCCCCTACTTACTATTATTCTTTCTCTTACGTTACGATCTTTAGAGTGGAAATAAGGTCAAACAGCGAGCTTCTCATGTGAATCCCCACTTTTTTGTTTGGATATTTGGTCATTTATTGTCACAATTGTGCTAAAATTAGGGGAACGCCAATTCCTAGCCTGCAGAACAGGCGTTATTTTTTCGCGTTTTTCAGGCGTGCGAAAGCGCAGCGAAGCGGGCGTGGAGCGCGAGACAACCGCGGCCTCCCCCGTTGCACGTGTCTCGCGCTCCACGTCCTCTTCGCGCCGCTATCGTTCGCCTGAAAAACACGAAAAAAATATAATAAAATAACACCTGTTCTGCGGGCTACCAATTCCCTTATACACATGCTGATTTTGTGAAATGAGAAAACCCAAACGTGTAGTTTAGGAACTTTTCCTGAATGTTAAACATTTTTCCTGGTAATCTATAGCCAAGGACAATTATTGATGGTTTCCCAAAACTGGTTATCGTATGAATACAGTAACGCGTAACAAAACTGGATCATTACGTTTAGTTTTGATTTCTGAGCAAGTTTTAGTGCGACTTGTTACTTATTTTTTTCTAACTGTGAATGTTTGTTACCACTGAGTTTGTGAGGAGTATACAAGCTAGTAACTTGAAAAAGGTAACGTTTTTTTCAGATGTCCGAGCAAGAGTCTTTTCTCGAGTCACATGTGGTTCACTTTGGTATTGGAACACCAAGCCGCATACTTAAGCTACTGCAAAATGGTAAATGAACTCCACCTACGATCATAGGATTTTCGCGTTTGTAAATACTTTAATCTTAATGACTCATTTGCTCTAAAGCCATCCGTTTTGTGCATAGTTATAATAGGGAACTTACAATCAACCACGACGACGGCAATGTCTAAAGCCGGTGATGTTACACGGAACAAATCGCAACGACGATTTTTAGCGCAACACAGCGTTGCATCATTGTTGCGATATTGTTTCGAATGGCTGCAACATTGTTCCAGTATAGACCTTGTCACGGTTTTCGACGCCATCTTGACGAGTAGGCAAACGCGTGAGAAATTACAGTGTTTGTATGAGAATCCAATGTCGAATAATTTCCGTAAAACGGCTGTTCTGGAAAAAATATGAACTGTAAACTAAAGCTACACAGCAAAGGATTTTACCAACAAATTTTGGGGGCCTTTACTGTGCTTAAATTTCTCCTGAAGCTTGCTTGAGATCTTTCATATATTTGTCTGCAATTTTTCCAAACAAATCTATAGAGGATTTTAAAAAAAGGTTCTAGGTCTTCTAGCCCATGTAACGCCCTCAAATTTTTTCAGTAGAATCCTTAAGAGTGAAGCTTTAGTTTACAGTTAGCCGTTTTACGGAAATTATTCGACATTAAAAAAGGTTAAGGTTAAAGGCTTGTTTATAGTGGAAATTGCACTTAGCTTGTCCAGCTAATTTACAGGCACTCCACTCAAATATTTAGAAACAAATAATTCAAATACAACATAACAGGATTAAAAACCCCAACTGGCAGAAGGCGACCAGTTGGCTATTTACAAGCGTGGCCGAGAATTTGAACTTGGGACGACCGAGCACAAATCCAGCAGGTGGCCAGAGCGGGACTCGAACCCGGGACCGCCGGATTGCGAGTCCGACGCGCTGACCACTCGGCCACGCTGCCTCCCTAATTAGATACATTATATTAGATTCTCATACAAACACTGTAATTTCTCACGGGTTTGCCTACTCGTCAAGATGGCGTCGAAAACCGTGAGAAGGTCTATTGCAACGCTGTGTTGGGCTTAAAATCGTCGTTGCGAATCGTCCCGTGTAACATCACCTTAATCAAGCTCCATACCACTGTAGCAGATGTTTCGGTTGTAGGAGGCACAATGACTTAGTTTCTGATTGGTGAATAAAAATTGTTTATTTTACCCCAAAACAAGTACTCTGTAAAGGATATTATTTTTGTATTCATAGACAAGAAAAGGCTTTGTGTAGTTACTTACCATTCTATGAGTATCCAAAGTCCATCCGATCCTGAGGAACTCCTCCGCTAAAGATATACGAGATTAGCAGCTTTAGGCCTCCCGGCATGGCGTGTTTCAATCCAACCTGGAATTGGCGGAAAGTTGCCGCGAATTACAAAAATTAAAGCGTATGTGACTTTGAATTGCCTACTGCAAGGCTTTGGTCTTCTCGCCAACTTGCCCATCACGTATTAAAGAAGATGAACGGGTCTTAAGACCAAACATCAGGTTTACCAGCACCACCGTTTTTAAATCCAAATCCACTTCAGATTTTGGTGAAGTTTTCGAAAAATATGTTACTCGCCATCGGCTTGTGATTTGCAAACTTTTTCCAACAGTCCACGGGGCATATTTTGCCCGGCGAAACAAAACCAATAGCAAGTGCCGTCTATTGTTTAGCTAACTCACAGTGTGCCTTGTTTTAATCTGTAGGTACACTTAAAACATCAAGGTTAAAATATGTAATACTTGATTGGACATGGCGAGATCAAAAGCTTCGAAGAATGATCGATATTCTAGAGGTACAGTAAAATTCAATAGCTGTTTTCTTAGCGTGTAGTTATCTGAACAGTAAATTAGTCCTGATAACCCTGCACTCGAAAGCTGTTTGTTTTAAGGGCTAAATACTTGAACAGGAAATATGGTTTTAACTGGGTGTTTAAAAGTGGTATCATTGAATACCCCGCTCAGGGTACTGTAGGCCAGTCTTCGTCCAAGCCTTGTGCAATGCACAGAAACATGTCTGCAACTCGCCGACTGAGTCTCTTTTTCATTGCGCTAAATTCTGGCAATCGTTATTTTCTTTTGAGGTTTTACGTTACAACTCTTCCTTCGTTACTTTGATATATGAAATTAAACTGGCCTTTTTCAAAACAAACCAACAACTTCCTAAAGTAGTTTTGGTGAACACGGTTTTTTTAAGATGGCTTTCCGTAAGCGTTTTCTTACATTTTTCCTATCACTGAGTCTAGGATACTAAACTATATATATTTTTTCGTTTTTAGGTGAGAGGGGAGCTTATTAATCTCCTAAAGGATTTTGTATTTCCCTTGGCGAAAGCTTCAAAACTTAAGATTGGATTATTTTAATCTTATACACGCAGCGCTCCTTTAATCTATTTACTGTTTACTTTGTACATAATGTAAGAATAAAATGACCTGAACACTTCCAGTCGGTCTGCCTCGTCCCCATGAGCTTGTACAGACGCCGGGAAAGCGAGTGGAAAAAAAAACCTGGAGGGTTGTGGGAGCTGGGGGGAACGCCGTCCTACAGCTCGACGCGATTCGTATTCGTAAAAGAATCGATGCTTTCGGGTTAGGCAACCTGGTCTGCAGCAACAGTCTCTCTCTTTAGAGAAAGAGAAAGGCCGGCAGCTCAGATTCCCAGGCCACGGTCTACCCTCAAGAACGCGTATTGACAAGTACGCCCTGTACCAGCCGTCGATACACGGCCGGCAAACCAAGGCGTGATGGATGTACAACTCTATTTTTGCGAATATGCTGCAAAATCAACCAACCCACTCCGGCCCCTCTCCCGCATAAAATTTGTACCGCGCGCAAGGAGGTCAACTGCTTGCACCTAGACCCCCATGAGTGCTTCTGCTCTGTGCTGAGAGGACGTTAGACCCACTAAACCTGCTCTTGAATTCATGCGCGGATCCAAATTCCCAAGCAAGCACAAATGCATGCTGTGCACACACGTGACACAAACGCGTGAACGCGCTGAAGATTATGTTGGCATGCGAAGCATCTCAACGGAAGAGCCGAATGAGGAAATGGGGGATTGAAGAAAGACCTTTTCTTTCATTTTCCCCGTGTTGTGTCCCAAGGTGTAAGGATTCCTAGGTTTCCACTCGAGAGATTGAGATTGTTTACCTAACAATCTCATTGCCAGAGCCGGATGCGATCGTTTTGGTCAGCAGGAAGGATCCCCGAGGCTCTCAGGATGAGGGCTTGTGAGTGTTTACGTCAGCGTCGCTCCAGTGAATCAGTAAGGCTGCCAGTTTTAACGTGGCAAAAATAAGAAGTTAAACGCAATAACACGAGGCCATCGAAAAGCGATGAAGAGGAATTCCATCAAGAAATGCGGTTGGCATTTTGAATTTTAAAAATTTAAACACTAGCACACGCTTCACGGCTTGATAGTTAAAACAATCCTCCCATAGTATGGATCCTCCCATAGTATGGATTTCCCTTCGAAAAAAAATCTTTAAAAAGTGTGATGTCGGTATTAAAGTATGTCAGTGATTTTTTTCAGGCGCATGCGCAAAGATGAATGCCATGGAGTTGTTTTTAGAGAGCTACACGCTATTTTCAGACTTCAAAACTAAACAATTCGTTATTTTACATTGACAGTAACATTAAATAGGTTTCTAAAACATGAGAACCCGGGTTAAATCATCTGAAGAAGGATGCTTATTGATGAATGGTCTCAGCGTTAGCCAGGCCATGCTTTCTAATTCTCTCGCCTTATTTTTCTTTTCCTCCAGGTCGTCTCTTTCACCGATACAAGCCAACTGCTCCTGCTTAAGTTCTTTTGTTTTAGTTGACATTAAATTTACAAGAGATTCTTTTAATTCGGCAAGCTGGGACTCCGTTAGTTTTTCCAACTCCTCGTAGGTGAATTTCGTTTCCGTTTCCGGTTGGAATAAACCTGCAAAAAGTTGACGAAGAAATCCGAACGGACTAACCACACCACGCGACTTCACATTAAACTTCTTCAGTTTTGCTTCGATATTTCTTCTTTCCAATAAATAACTTCGGATTCTGGCATAAAATGTTGTCCGTCGTTTGTTCCTGGCTTCACAAGTTTTACAAGTTACACTTCTTGCTTTCACAGGGGAACGAATCTCCACTACGCAGCTCGACTCATTTTGGTACCCAAATTCTTTCATCGCAAATGCGGCAGACTGATCCGCTTTAAGAAAACTGCCAGAATCTGTCATGAGCAACTTTCAGAGGCAACTAGGCACTTGAGTTGTGCATGATTTGTTCATGTTAGTCGTTCAGTGCTGTCCGTGACGTCATAACTAACGGGATACGTCATGAGCGCGCAACAATAGCCAGTAGAACAGTGGATAAGTATCAGGGATTTGGGGGAAACCAACTGTGCTATCCACCTATTGAACAACTGCGGCCAGAAGTTTTTTTTTCGCATTTTTTCAGGCGAGCGAGGTCAGGCGCGTAGGAAGCGAGGAGCACGAGGCACAAGCGACGGAGGAAGTTATTATTTTTCTACCTCTTCCCCCGTCACGCGTGTCTCGCGCTTCTCGCCCGCTAGCGCAGCAAAAGGTTACTTCGAAGGCAGAGACACGGGCGGTAATGCTCTTGTGCAACAAAAATGGTTCAAATGGTCGGCATTCTGTCGAGTTGAAAATTTGCATTAAACATGAGAGATTTTCAATTATTTAATCCGCTAAAAAGGAGAGCAGTCTTACGACCCCCGGTTCACGAAAGTCATCAAAACAACAGACACAACGTAACAACGTTTTAATTCTGCGCAAAGGTTTCGGTGTTAGAGAAGAATATACAGTGCAAAAATAGGGCGTTATGATACAAAAAAGCGACAAGATCCGGTTGGAAAAAAGGAAGTTGTTATCTGACTCTATCCCATCTCCACAGTGTGCCATCATCACAAACAGAGATTAAAATCCTGTAGTCAAAAGAGAAACCAAAAAAAGACAAACAAATTACGACAAATTAAACTGAAAGAAGTCAGTGGTTTCAGAGAAAGAAGCTCTTTGTTTTTTTAAGAGTCTTTTCAATGTGCAGTTGCCAACCTTGAAATACCGATGCACCTCATATCAGCTAATCAGAATAAGGCGCTTGTTCAGTTGTTGGTTTGTTTTGTTTCCCGGTCAAACAATGCATGTGCTAAGGTAAACGAGAAAGGGCCTGGGCTGAACTGGCTTGGTTTGACGAGGGCCCGAGGTGACTGTAATCCTGATAACTAGGCTGATTTAGCAACAGGACGGGAACGTCAGTTGACGACGGGAAAGCGCGCGGAAAGGACTAAACACGAATTCCGGTGCTCAATTTGCCGCTCTGCCATTGGTCAAGCCACTTGTTTGATTTGCGCGCGCCGTCGTGAACTGACGTTCCCGTTCTGTTGCTAAATCAGCCTATTATGTGTAGTGAGCCAGCCCAGAGCCGCGATATTTACAAACAGAATTAAGGCAGTGCGCATGACTCCTATTGAGAGTACTTGGTTCCGAGCCGTATATGTCACTGACTTAAAAAAAAAAAAATGTCTTTCTCACTTATTCAACAGGCTAAAAATTCACCATCACATTTCTTTTGTTCTAAGGGGTGAGGGTGATAAAAGAGACGCTTACTCGAGGAAATGAAGTATTGTTAGACAAAAAATCACCTAAGTTTGATGCCAGTTCCTCAAAAGTAAAGATAGTAAGGGATAATCGAGGTTTCTGAGTAACTGACCATCCACCCTCCCTTAAGTCAATATTAACACTTAGTTCTCACTTAGGGCAAAATGTTGGCTTAGGGGAGGGGTAGGTGGTCAGTTTCCCAAAAACCTACATTGATCTTTTTGCCTTTCACTAACCTGCCATCTTTGCTGAAGCCCGTCTGCCTAATGGCTGAAACACATTTGTTGTGAACCAACGTTGTTGATCTGGGCAAATAAAAAACTCAATATTGTAACTAAAAAGTTCAGCAAGACGTCTACTCATGACTTCAGTTAGGCACCTGGGAGAAAAGATTCTGCTCTTTTGAAGCATCGCAATTTGTTTCGAACAACCAAACTTAGACTGCGAGGAGTAACCTCTACCCAGAAGAGGAGAGGGCCTGGGAACCAGGCTGTGTGGGCAATCCCTCGGAATAGTCAGGCGGGATAGCAAATCAAGGAAAGGAGCGAATGGTAAAACGTGATATCCAGTGAGAAATTAAAACGTGTTACCTTGCTTTCCTTGGATCTTCCACACCGATATCCCAAACAAACGTCTTTCCTGTTTGATTTCCAACAGCCATGAGCTGTAAATAAATTCGACGCAACCATTAAATCATTGGATTCATTAATCATTTTTTACAATCAGCACGTGTTGGACTGTTGGATCGATAGTAACCCCGCACTCTCCCTAGCAAAAACTACGCACTGCAGGAACGTACCCCCAGGGATGGGGAGGAGGAGAGTACAGCTACACGTGTTCTACAGGCTCAGCCTGGGACCAGGCTAGTATAGGCTGAGCATCAGGCTTTTCTGCAGGGAAGCCGGAGAGGGAGAACAATGCGAAAGGAAGGTAATCCTTCCCTTCACATCTCCCTCCAAAGAAACACCGACACTCACGTTACGGCCACTTTTTTGAGATGGATTAAAAAAATAAAGTAAAATAAAATAACATACACAAAATGCAACCAACAGGAATATCATTGACACGGAAGGATACGGAGCAAAAGGGGAGGGGTTTGATAATAAATGTTCTCCATTTTGTCTGAAAGGTCTCCAGTTTAAGTTTAAAACTAATGGGGCCAACGAAACCAAACAGAACACACAACAAATCGACGCGGTGATGACTAAATGAATTATTTTGTTGGTATAAAAAAACAAAATTGAACGAACGATGAACAAAGCCTATCATGGAACGTTCCAAGATTTGTTTTAGGAAGCATCTATTCTGATTAAATTAAACTAACCGACACATGTGATTTTCTTACCCTCTGTTCATAGTCTAAACTGAATCTCATGTACCATATGTCGCACTGAGAAAACTCAAATCTGACGAAGGAATTGAAAAATGCAGAAATAAGTAGTTTTAAAGCCATTTAGGGAAATACCTGTAGCAATCTACGATTGAATGATCAGCAAAATGTGATCACTTTACTTACCTATGAAGCATGGTAACGCTTCGCTCCGAATTGAAAGGCTGGGAACAAAGAGAATATCGAATTAAATAAGGTTTGATTAAATGTAACCTCTCGGTTAAAAAAAAATCGCTTTGTGAAGAGTGTATGAGTTGTCTAGAAAATGGTTTACTTCTGTAGGTACCGAGGCACAGATTACAAATTACGTACAACAAAGAAACAATACAACCAAACAATAAAGCCCTCAAGAGAGCTCTTTTGTTTGGTTCCTTTAATTCTTTTGTGATGACGGTACGTGCAGAAAGACGCTACAAAATTTCAAAGGACGACATCAATTTCACATTGTAGAAGGTGAGAAATAGTAATAGTTAAAACAAAGTTATTTTGATGACGAACTTGCAGTAAAAACGTATATTCAAATGGTTGTGTTGAAGCCTATTCCACGCCCTCCCTATTGATACGTTACCAGTTCCTATAAACACGAACCTAATTCATCAGGTTAGCACGTTTTTCCCGCCTTTAATTCCCTGACCAGTTCATAAAGAAAAGATTGCCTTTGCCTGGCTTTGCCGGTTTATTATTTTTTCAGTAAGGTCTGACCTAATCATATTTTAACCCTTCGCACTTCACGATTCATTAATTTATTCTAAACCTTAATGGCATCCTGGGAATGGAATACAGTTCCCTTAGTTAGCTTATCTTACCCCTTTGAAAATGTCCTCAAATTTTTCTTGCGGCTTCCAACAAACAATACAGTTTTCACATGACTGAAAGGAAATGCACCAGGTTAACACCCATATCGATTAAAGCTTCCAAGAGTTGAAGTAAATAATTGAACACAATCGACAAACATCACAGACTGTGAGTACGTTCTTGTTTTCTATCAAAGTTAGTGGGGGTACCACACGTGACACATGAGGTCAAGCCGCGAGGGTCAAGAAATGAGGACGTTGGTCTGAGAAAAAAATAACAATAAAACACATTCTTCTCAGGCTAACACCCTCATACCTCGCGGGTTCCTCCTCCCTCCTTCGTTGCGAGATGGCTGCTTCTTCACTAACTTTGGAAAATAACTACTCGCAAAGAGTCGGAAGGCAAGGTTTTTAGGTCAAAGGGAACGGGACAAAATTCTAGTATTCGCTCAATTCCTGAAAAGTTGGCCGGAATTTATTCTACTTTAGATGGCCAAGAAAGACAAAGTAGTATTAAAGAAATATTATATGAACGTAGGTTTGAATGAATGCAATATCAATAAATGGAGGGACTTTGAGCGGATAAAACAGCCAACGGCTGCGTAGGGAATATAGATTGTAAAATTTTCTTAAGAAACAAACTGCATTAGATTTAAAGGCTGCACTCTACTACTACACGACTTGATTGTATACGTCATGTAAAAAACATCTTACTTTAGACAGGACAAGATCACCAAACCAACGAACACTGTCGACGTAGTTTCTATGGATGTCACGTGTCGTGAAATCCGGAAAATGGACCTTGATCGAGGAAAACGCTCTGAAATACAACAGTGAAGTAACTTTGCAAATCAGTTAATCTGTACAGCCGTACGAGCCATAGGCAGGCAATACGAGCAACAAGCGGCAACAAACAACAGTACTTCTATTCTGTGCTAATTTACGCTTACACCTCTGAGGCCCGTTTCTCTAAAGTCCCGATAATTAACGAGCCCCTAGTCTGCGTGGCAGAGATAACATGATAAAACTATTAGTTAACAAAACAAAATGGACTGGTTTGTTAGCTAGGACCTGTGCTCCTGTTCTTTAGATTTTGATCTGAATATTTGACTTCCAGCCCGAAAAGTTACCGGGACTTTCGAGAAACGACGTTGGTCTGGGGAGAGACCTTAAGCAACGAGAACGTTGACGTCCCGCACCTCAAAACTAGCAACCGGAAGTTGATATTTTCTCTCTTTCATTTCTCTCAGCCTCGACAGTTTTCGTACAGCGGGAGTTAAAACAAAGGCATTCAGAATCGTCGTGTGAAGTGTTCCATCAAGCGAGACATCGAATTTCCGCTTGGTATTCATGACGTCCGGGACGTCAGCGTTCTCATTGCTTAAAAGCTCACTAAAGACGATACCAAGACAAAAAAGGAACAACAGTACTATGCACCACACGATCAACGCCGCAGTCACTAAGCGCCATGAAGCCGCACATGCTCAAATCAATCTCCGTCAAAAAGGTACAAGAAAAAAGCACTCATTTGTGAACGTCTTTACAAGGTTTATCTGACGAAGATCGAGACGTAACAACAGCACGAAAGCTCTTATAATAATTGCAAGAGAAACGAACATCACTCACAAGCATAGAAAAAACATATTTCAACATTACACCAACTTCTAAAAAAGCACAGTAAATTTTATCTACCAGCGTCACTCATTAGGATTTCACGCACATAGTCAATACTTTTGAGAGTTGTACATGTTGTGGTTCAATTTTATCCTTGGAATAAATCTTATTTTCCTTTGTTTCAAACCATTATCATACATTACCAATATCCCAACACAAAGGAAAATAAAATTAAACCAAAATTGAACCACAACATATCCATGGCTGACATATCCTGTGAGCAAGCTCTCCGGGGCGCTCTGGCGGCGGGGCGTGAAAAGGAAGGAGAGCTTGCAACTCTGTCTCTGGAATTTGAATTCCACGTCCAATTCGCCTGTGGCTCCCCGTCGACGGTCGACTGAGCTGTCAGATTTCCGCCAATCAGCGCAAAGCGCAAACGAGCGCGAATGTAAGCAAACGTTGAAAAATACCTGGCAAGGGTGATGACGTCATTACTTATGTCATCTCCGCCAATCAGCATTTCACATCGTTATTGCAAGCTCCCCTTCCTGTTTCCCGCCCCGCCGCCAGAGCGCCCCAGGCAGGCTATAGCTGACATGGCCAGTATGTTTATTAGTTCTAGCAGTTGTAAATGCAAAGAAGAGACCTTACTTTTCAGTGTTGCCTGCATCATAACAATGAGACTCCTTGATAGCCTAAGAAAAAAAAAAGAAAAGAATTTCGATGTATGAGCGATACCTTTTCACGTTTCCTAAAGCTGACAGGAGAAAGGTGTCATCAAGCTTTAATCTGTTTCACAGACAGATATTTTACAAAAAAATAGTACAAACTGGAAAGATCCAAAAAGGCAAATTGAACGGTATGTTTCATTTACACCCGATGAGCACTACTTAATCATTCACAGTGTAGACTGCTTGCAGTAGTCTTTCTTTTTCTTCAGAGTTAGAATGGGGAGTTGCCGCTCGACGCGAGAAACGCCTTCAGTCACGCGCGCGGTAATTTTTGTGTCTTGCGCGTTTTGCTCAACGAGCTAACAAAAAGGGAGACTGCTGGTAGCCTATTCACAAGACACAAGGTAGCATAACTCATTTAAAAAACTCCGGTTTTTCGGTTTATTATCGTCTTGACACTTGATAGGATCAATTTCTTCAACGGTCTCCACCGTTCTCACTAAAGATCATTGTATGTACAATAAATGTGACCGATTACAGTGATCAATACAAGGTTATTTACAGGGCTTTGAATTCTAGAATTTGCCAGCTACACATGCACTGAGAACTTGTACAGTTCAAGATCTGGTTCTCAAATAACACACACAAAAAAGAAAACTTAAGACGAGATGCAAACAGACAAAACAAAACAAATACAAGATTCAATTTTACCTTTTTGACAGCATCAGTTTCCAGTGACCATATCTTAAGAGAATGATCCATTCCACAAGACACCAACTTCTCACCAAGGATGTCAAAGTCCTTAAAATAAGGTTAAACGACAATGAAGATAAATGGTTGACTGTCACTTTCATAAGCGAGATCAGCTCCAAACGGCATTATTAATGATGACTTACTGTACTAAGAACCTCATCTCTGTGTCCATCCACGCCACCAAATATAGCAACTAGCACATCTGTCTTGATGTTCCATAATCTCAGGCTGTGATCTGCCAACAATAGCACAGTTTAACTTCCTCGTTAATAATGAAAATAAATAAATAAATACAAAATGGAGCAAAGTGTATTATCTTAGGAACGAACACAAGGATGAAGCTTGAACAGACAGACCAACAGATCTAAAGTCTGAGATGTTAACTGCTTTGTCAACATGCTTTAATTATTCATATGTGCATTAACCCATTCGCTCCTGGAGATTTTGCCGAAAAACACGTTTTGAAGGTAGTCAAGTGGTTTTCTGGTCACTGTCGTGCTATAAAGAGCTAAAACTTACCACAAACCAGTTTACAGGTTGTACACTTGGCGGCCTTCTGATCCAGATGCAAAATAACAGCTTGCAAAGTTCGGGCATGCGCAGAAACCAACTTTCGAGATGGTTTTTGGGTTTAAAAGTGACACAGCAGTCTTGACTTTTACTTTTCGCTTTCTCTCCTCCCCTCGTTTTTCGCTTTTCTTGCCTCATTTTTTTTTCTCTTGCTGGGCATTTAGTAGGCTTCATTTTGGTGGGAAAAGCTTTTAGGAAAGCTTTTAGGATCTTAGGATTAGGTGAAAGGAAAGGTAGGTGAGCAATGGAACAAGATTTTCATGGAGATTTTCAGGTCAATGTCACATGGTTTTTTGCTTCTTTCTCCGGTGTCATTGACTGAATTGTGCTCATTCTGGTATGGTTTGAAAGATCTCTTCACTCTGCACAAGTTGGCGAACAAAGTTGTCCTTGACCGTTAAAACTGATGACATCACAAAGGGTGGAAGGGACGTGGATCCGCGCGGGCGGTTACAGGCAGTTCAGGGCGAATGGGTTAAGACGGAATCTGTCAGGAAATTGAGTAATATTAATTTTCAGTGGACAAAACCCTTGTACCAGAATAATCAAAACCATATTGCATTTCTTTTTACATTTTTCAGGGGTTACAGATATACAATTAAATTTTTCTGGTACAAGGTTTTTGTCCACTGAAAATTAAAATTACTCAATTTCCTGATGGATTCCGTTTTGATTTTTTGTAAATTTAAGAGGTTATTGGCTCCCAACAGATCCTTCAATAGCACAGCCTCTCCGCCCAAAATGTGGTCTGCTTAATGCAGTTTTTACTGTACACATTTTAATTTTTCTTTATAACTAAGAAAATTCCATCTAGAATATATTACATCACTCAACAGAATAGTTGTCACAAAGCTCTCATCCACACTTCATTATACAAGTACCTTTGCTTGCTGAAAGAAGTATATAAGGATCCACTGGATGAAACTTAAGTTCATTTATCGCTCCACCATGACCAATATAATGCTGAAGAGGAAATACAAGACAATCATTTAATGCTACATGTACAACAATGGAATTTACAACTTTCTCAACTAAAATTGTTAACACTTACCTTGATACAGTTCATGCTAATTGGACTGCAAAAAATAAATAAAATAAAAAAAGTCTATAACTTCAGTACATATGTAATTATCTGCATGATATACTGGTAAAGACTAATCATAGATATTATGAAGTAAACAGGTGAGGAATTTGTAACTTGTGAAGTCTTCTGAAAGTGGGATTTGGGAGATTGGAGAGTAGATTTCCTGTCAGTCAATAATTGACTCAGTCATAATGTTGACATGATGAATGATACAGTTTTAATGTACATCATAATCAGTGGGGTAAAAATGACTTTGAAGATGTGTATGGAAAATTTCTCAATAAACCCCTAAAATAATGAAATTTGACAGTTTAAAAACAAAACAAAAACAGCACTGACCTAATGAATCTGATGATTCCTCTTGTCCCAGCAACAGCAAGTAATGGCTCCCCTGTGTCAGGATGATATGACCAGGCGCAGGTGTAAAAACTTTCCTCTGGCTGCAACAAGTCAAGGCAATTTGGTTTTCTTCTTTTATGTTTTGGAGAACATTTTTATTTAAAATTTTTTCTAGTTGACTCTGTACTTCAATGGGACGATTAGAGGTTGAAAAGATAGCAATTAATTTAAAGACAACAGCTACTGTTACATGTACTTGTCTAAATTGAAATGAATCATCACTGCTCAATGGAAACAGTGAATACTTTCCAGTGACCAGAAGCCGTTTTAGTTCAATTGCAAATAATGTGTCCAGTATAAATAGAGTATAGCTGAACCTCCATAATCAACCACACAAAATGCAAACATTTAATGGACAAGAATTGAACCATAGTGGTCCCATCCTAGAAGGCTTCTGAACTCATCAACATTCTGAAAGAGAAATCATTGCATGCAATTTCTAATTTATGTGTAGTTTTCTGTTGTCACTAAAAGTTCTTTGCATGCTCTGCACAGTGTAGTACGTACAGCAAACAAAAAGATGAAACCATGCTTCAAAAATTATAGTTGCAAATGGGAGGCTAAAAACAAAGAAAGAGTCGGAAACCATAATCCAAAAAAGCGGTTGTGGTTGCTAGGAGAGGTGGTTGTTTACGACAGTCTTCATTATTGATTTGACGGGGCAAATGTGGTCGCTTACAATGTATGAGAGGTAGTCACACATGATGGTTTGACTGTTGTTTCAGTACCGTGCATTTCAAGTGTAGGTCAACAAAATGTCTGCAGTTGGAATAAATAAGTAAATAATAACACTAATTAAGGTAAGACTAACTGCAAAGTCAGTCAAAAGATACATCAGCATCAGCATAAGCTTGAAGCAGCTTGACCACTCCTTTGGCTTCACACTGGTAGATTGTTACCTACACCAAAAGAAAACAGTAAACCAAATTATCAACTTTCTCGGTCACACATCTCCTCCTACACAGCACAAATTATTAAAGTGATCTGCCGCTCGATCTACCGATGTACACACAACATTAGCAGTTGTACTTGGTTGACTAGGCTAGTTTACAGGAAATAATTGTCAACCTTGATATCATATATACCTTTGCCACTGAAGACGTTGTGAATTTAAGCCTCCTTTGATAACATTAAATTTAGGGGATGACCAATAGCTTCTCAAAGGGGTGTGGTGGGTGGGTGGGGGGGGGGGGTCAGTAATGTAGTCTGGGTAAAGAATAATTTTCCAAGCTTATAATTAAGAAATAAATAATTTTTTTGGCTGCAAACCTATTAAGTCTATTAGCTTGACGAAAGAGGGTTTTTTTAATTTCTAATTTGATTTCTGAAATCACCCAACCCTTCCCCTTAAAGTAAAGTATAGATTTGTGGATTTCTTTACAATGGCTAAACTTAAATATTATTTTAACAACATTAAAAGAATATAAATGAAAGTGTCCTTTCTAAGACCTGGCTAAATCTCCGCATTATGCATCGTGGATTTTCCAAGTCACCCAAAGACAAAAGTTAAACTTACAAGGGGCCACTAAGAGCAAGCGGTCCCTTATTCTATATCACTTACTCGGTTACTTCCAACAGTTGCAAACAAATGGAGATCTTCTGTTCCCTCAGGTACATTGTAGTTAAACTGAACAGCAAATATGGGCTGTTTATGGTCTTCCTGTCAAAAGAGAGTAGCATAGTACATACCGACAACACAACGATTAGAGCATTCTATCAGATGGTCACTTAGAAGAGGTTAAAAACCGTATGAAAAACTGTCATCCTAAAAGTGATCACAGTTGTTCACAAGAGGTGGTTGTTTACAATAGATTCCAACCATAAGACCTTGACTGGGAAATTTTTGGTGCTTTGGAAAGGTGGTCACTTACAAGAGGGGGTCGCACATGGAGGTTCAGCTGTATTCCAAAGTTTGTACAACTCCTACAGGGCTCTGTATTACATGTAAGGAGGTTTGACTGTTTGGGTTTTGCCAAACAAAAGTAATAATGATAGACATAGTTCATTGCGGTTTGTTTATGATACTAAGGTTCAGATGTAAAAAATCATGGTACAGTACATGTGTATTATGGGATTCATTTATTGTTGGTCTCATGACCATTGGTCGTTGGGCACTGCTTGACAACCATGGCTGCCAGTCATTGGTATTATTACATATCATACTCAGTATCTGTCTTCTCATTGGCTGACAGCCCATTGTGCATTTTGGAAATCAGCGCAACCTACAGATTAGTTAGTTATCTGCTAGCAGATAACAGACTAATCTGTAGGTTGTGTACGCAATGCATGAGCAATGTCAAACTGTTTTCCATATGGATGGTGTGTTTGTCCTTATTTTCTTCAAAACAATATATAATAAAACAATCATTAGATTCCAGGGCTGTGCTCTAGCAGAGCCCCGCGGACCCTGGCACACAACTTTTGTTCTTGGGCAACTAGAAAATCTTAGTTTTTTGTACAAATCATATGCTGGGCACCCTAGATTTTACAGGGTTAAAGCACTGGGCTCCCTTCAGTTTTCCTTAGAGCACAGCCTTGGATTCGGTTTTTGTGATATCCAAAATAATCTACATTGTAGGTTTCTGTAAGTGTTATCAGCCTCGGCTTTCAGCGGATCTTGTGTAATTTGTGCACCCCTCAGTTGAGTATCGGTCGACACTATGGGCCAATACTCAATCGACATGTTGGCTGATATGTCAGCCAACTCTCGGTCACCATATCGGTTGATCGGTTGACATTTTGGCTAACCCCCGGTCGATCTCTCCACTGACATCCGTCACCCGACTCTTAGTCAACATGTCCGCTGATGTGTTGAGCGATAGTCAACTGAGAGAATGCTGACATGTTGACTGACAGATAGGCCGATAGTGTCTACATGTCAACCGATATGTTTGCCGATACACTGACCGCCATATCAGTCGAGTGTAGACCAACATATTGATTGACATGTCGACCAACAGTCGACCGATACTTGATATAACGGCCGACAGTGCCAAACGATACTCAGTTGAAGGGTTCACAAATTACACAAGATCCCCTTCAGCCTGGCTATAACGCTTACCTCAACCTTGATTATTCTGGATATCACAAAAACCTCATCCAATAATTGTTTATAATTTGTACCTCACATGGTGAAAGGCACATTGTGTCTCATACATGCTGAGAGAACAGGGGTAAGCAACCAATGGTGAATATCATGGTCATCAATCAATCAATTAACCCTATCAAAAACCCCTCCATATATCGCATCTCCAAAAAGCTAAAATTGGTTCATCCTTGGTGTAAGAACCTGTAAAACTCACGAGTGACGTAAAACAAAGGAAACAAAGAAATCAACAAAATAGAACCTAAAAAAAAAGGTGCGACGCAATGAAAATGTTCACAGGTTCTTACACCGAGCTAAAGTCCCAAAATTAAAGGCATGATCATGTCGACCAATCATACAAATCTGTTAAAATCCATCCACTTGAGCAGATTCTCATGCATAACATTTTCATAATAGTCAATAAAATATCCCAATGCCCTATGGTCCCTAATGTTCTCTCGAGCATCAGAATGAACTCGCTGCAGTGATTTCAATCAATGCGCAATTCAAAGCACGTGGTAAACAGGTTAACAATAAATAATTGACATTGCGCGGGAAAATAAATTCTTTTTTAACCTGCGAGGAGCATTTGCCACGAAACAGCTGAAAAAAATTCTACTTAGTCGCAATTCATTTACCTTGAGGAAGTTAACACATCTGAAGGCTAAGTTTCGTTTCTTTCTTCCTTTGCCTCGAAATCCTCGTTTTCCTGCGATGGAAGCTTGGGTTGAATTCGAGTTCGAACTGCTTACTGTGGAGTCGTTGTCGCTATCTTCATCATCGAATTTCGCTTGTTTTCCTCCTCGTTCATGTTCTGCATCTGACCCTGTTGCCTCGCATTCTATTTGAGGCTCTTGTGGCAGAGATTCTTCGATTTCTCCGCTCATTTTCTCACTTCGAACTTCTGCCTTTCCTGTCACACAAAATCGTCCCAGTCTTCCTCGAAAGCTTTCCGTGGAGTACCACAGGCTACCCACACAATCTGTATATGTGTAACCGTTTGTAAGTTTACAGTAAATGTAATGGATTACCGTTTGCTTCTTCTGTAGAAACGTGTTGCTAAATATATGTACTGGATCACTGCTAAATAAACGTTGTATGACCTTACCCGTAGTATATTGCCCTCCTTTTGCCTCAGAAGTGATATTTTGAGTGATAAAAAATCCTTCAAAAATTAATAGTTGGCCGCTTTACCCGCTCTTCGTTGCCTCTATTAGAAGGCATAGTAGCCTCATAGTAATCAGCGAACTCAAAATCCTTCAAAATCTCTAAATACCTCTTCTGAGGTGTAGGGTGACAATTTGCCGGAGCAAGGTAATACAGCGTCTATTTAGCATCAGTCTATGCACAATTAATAGTTAGCTACTTCGTTTATTAGTTAAAGGGCTCTGAGACAATCTGTGTTAAAAAAAGTTTTAGAAGCTGTGACAGGTATGCCACAGGTTAGCATCGATCAAAGCTGATCTCCTTACATAAAAATTAACTTTGCAGGACATAAACACAACACCGAAAGCTCGAATCCATTCCTTAAGTTTCGGCCCTTTTCTGATTATGTCGTCGTCAGCAAAGTCTGCTGGATTCGTTTCTCTAGTTGGGAGAGCTTCATTGGTTTCCATATCTGGGGCTGTCCTATTTTGACAAGCCTAGCGTGTTTATTTACCGTTTGTGTTTGAATTTCATGAAAAAAGTTGTGTTGGAAGGAGAGTGATGGCGGCTGAGTCTTCATCTTGTGCCTCCCACCTCATGTATTATATTGTATTGACGGTGAATTTGAGAAAATATTGACGAAACTTCGTTTGAGATTAAGGACAACAACAACCATCTATATAGAGTAAGTTTCGTTGACTTTTATTTTGCATTTCCTACAAATTTTAGGGTGGTATTTTTACCTCATACAAACACTGTGATTTTACTGGAAAAGTACTGTTGTGATACTTGGCTGTCGTCATTTTATATAAAAAGTTTTTATATTATCACAGTACCCGGGTGGCCTGTGGTGCACTTGAAAATCTTATAGGTCGTTCTGTAGAAAACATGGCTTCACATTTGCCGGCAAAGCATATCACTTAAAGTACAAGCTGTCAATCATCTTTCGAGGTAAAATCAGTTGTGCATGCCCTATTTCCTCGAATAAGTGCCCGCTCGCTTATTTCAGTCAAATTTAGCTAAAAGGATTGGCGCTTATTAGAAGGAGGGCGCTTATTACGTTTTCTTTAAAAAGAACTCTAACTTTATTATGGCTAAACCAAAAACTACGACATTATCCATGTAAACGTCAAGCGCGCCATAGTCTATACACTTAACCCACATGAAGGAACCCTTCTCGCAAATGGATATAGAAGCAACTGGAAGTAACTTAACGGAAAACAAACTATTAGCCTGTACTGATTCTGCTGTAGTTGAAGCCTAAAAACTTATAAATAAGTGGCAATAGATACTGGTCTTCCTTGTGTACCAACTAATTTAAGAAAGTGAGGGCGAAAGGAGGAGGGGGTGGGGAGGGGGGGAGAGGCGGCGCTTATTTGATAGAATGGCCTTGGGGTAAGAGCTTATTCGAGGAAATATGTTATCACAAAAGCGATTGTTACCCGCGACGCTGGAAGAGTCTTTGTTGATGCGTATATATTTTTTCGTTACTTTTAATGGAAAGGGTTTTCATTCTACAAAACATGCTTACGTACTTCGTTTTTTAAGAGTACTTATATAGCAGCGGCACTAAAAAACAACAACAACAAGCGACGTCTTCTTCTGTATTTTTTATTTTAACCCGTTTTCTCACCACCTTTATAAGTGCAACTTCATTCAGAATTTGGACTTTTAGCGCTTTCTTGTATATCTCTGAAGCGAGTCGAACGAATTTTTTTAAAATCTCTTCACATAATCTTCACAATGTATATAAAAATGTCTGAACTTTCATTGAGATTGATTCACAGCAACACCTTGAAATTTCAAGACAAACCTATCCTACGAACCGGCCAAAAATCTGCGTTACAACATTCACTGTTTTGACGTTACGCAAAAGGAATACATAAATTTAAATGGTAATTTCCTTTGTTTGTCTTTTTCCAGTAAAGAAACTGGGAAAGAAAGGGAGGAAACCGACAGCCATATAACTGAAGAATGCAAGAAATTAGCTCAAAACCAGTATTAAAACTGGAAACACGACAGGGTTGCTCAAGTTCTCCACTGAAATAATCTTTGTAAAAAATTTAGTTTGCAGTGCAGCGAAACCTGGCCTGGTATGACCATTTTCCGGAGGCAATGATGACAGTGATGGAAAATTACCAAGTGAAGTTACAGTGGGATTTCAGAATTCAGACAGATCACCATTTAGACCACAATAGACCTGATATTGTACTTCTCCAAAAGAAATGAAGGCGGTGCTTCATTGTCGATGTACCTTGCCCTTATTTCGATACACGGGTAGCAGAAAAAGAAAAGGAGAAGATCCAGCACGTATCAGGACTTAAAAGTGGAAGTGCAATCTGGAACAGCAGAAGTGTAATATCTGTGATTCCTATTGACATTGGAGCTATTGGGACTGTGAGTAAACACCTAAGGATGTGGATCAGCAAGTTGGGAACACCTGGAATCATTGCATTGCTCCAGAAAGCTTGTTTGTTGGGAACAGCTAAGATCCTACATCATAATAAAAATAATAATAATAATAATAATAATAATAATATATTTTTTTTAATTTGGATCTTTAAAAAAATGTACATTCTTTTTGTGTACGAAAGAGAATTGTCGTAAAATGACTATCTAAAAACTACTAATAACAATTATAAAAAGCATCAAAAAGTTAATACAATAATAATAATAATAATAATAATAATAATAATAATAATAATAATAATAGTTTTAGTCGATGCTGCGGCTGGTTACCGTCAGCCGCCCACCCAACGCTTTTATTTTTTACTCTAGGCATCCAGACGTTTGTACTGCCATAATAATAATAATAATAATAGTAATAATAATAATAGTAAAGTAAATTTTATGATCTCCAGTATAGTAGCAAGTGGTACGAACATAGCCCTGCACGGGTAACTGAGAATGAAGAGGTCAAAATATTAAGGGATTTTACCATAAAAACCTATGGTAAGGTAAATCACCGTAGGTCTGACATAATTGTCCATCGATAAGAAAAACAACAGTCCTCATCATACACACTGCGGTACCTAGCTACAGCAACGTTGAAAGCAAAGAGACAGAGAGAGAAACAGGAAAAATATCAAGCTTTAGCAAGGAAAATATCTAAATTTTAAAGGGCGAAGACAAAAGCAATACTAGTTGTTGTGGGACATCTAGGAGTGATACCAAAGAACTTAAAGGGTACCTTGAAGGAAATTGGAATTCCAGTTAGGGTCAGAACTTTCCGAAAGTCTGCACTTCTTGGAAAAGAAAGGTCCTTGACGTCTAAAGTCTCGGGACGGAACCAGACTAAAAGTACAAAATATTGTTGTTTCCAGGACAAACAGCACCTGTGCGAATAAGAAATAATAATAATAATAATAATAATAATAATATTGTGATACTACTAAAACTACTAATGATGATGGTAACATATTTATGGCCAACAATCTTGATGCAGTACTTGACGTTTCGCCTGCATATTGCTAGTCTTATTTGATACGAGTGATTGATAACGTAATTCACGGTTGTACAACCCTTCTACAATTGTTGGGTTAATTATAGAGTCTCGATATGATTTAACAGAGATTTTCTGGTAAATGTCAAACGTTACTTATGCTAAAAAACATTACACCTCGTAATCCTTTCACCCATCAATTTCGGTCTGTTCGCTTACAGCGGCGGCTTTTTGAGCAAGTTATTCATGATGGTCTTAAAAAACACTTTCCACGATACGGCTAGACGTCTGGGGAGTGTTTATGTAAGGTGTTGTAAAGCTTATCGTAGACACTCGGTTGTCGACAATTGATGCCGTCATCAATATGTACCTCATCTTTTGGGGTAAAATCTCCTCCCCATCGAAGATCTGGATCATTTCTGACCTTATCAATAAAGCACTGAACATCTGGATGCTGGTTCAATGAATGACGAAGACATTTACTGTTGCACAGTTTTCCATTCTTGTCCCATACATTCATGTCAATTGCATGACCCACGTAGTGGTTGCTACGTTTATCGGGTTCCACGATCGCTCCAGTTATGACTTGTCCCGGTTTTCTGAAAGAGCTGGTGACATACACCTGAAAATTAATTCACTCCATATTAATTCCCTCGGAAATATACTTTTGGAGAAAAATTTCTAGGATGATTCTCTGTAGATGTTACTTAACTGCTACCTTGGCAACTTTGAAAGAAAGCTGCGATTAGTTAGCAGTTCTTACTAGTTGTGTAACGACACTGCGGTTACCAGCAGCAATTCAACATTCATTTTCAAAAAGGGCACTGCCTCTATAACAACGATTTTATTCAATGGTTCGCAGCCTTAATAAACTAGGCTTCTACCTATACCGTTTAACTGAAAAGAAATTTTTGTCTAAGGGGGAAGTGTAACCTGAGAAAAAGCTCTCGACCAGGGGACTGGGGAAGGGGGCGGCAGGAGAAATCCCTTTACACCCCTCACCACACCCCTCGATCCAAAATCTTTACCAAAGGCTGAGGGAACTGCGTTTTCTTACAACGTTGTAGTGACCTTTGATACATTCTCAAGGTTTGATCGGTTTACTTATTTATAAATGTAGGCTAGTACAACTCTTCAGATATGCGTTGTCACTTCCAAGGATTTAACAAACCTTTACGTCGCACGAGGAAGCAAAATCGTTAATTTTCTGCATGAGGCCCAAAAAATCAGTGTGAACAAGTGCAGCATTCGGTGTAAATTGACTTCCTTTGTACCAGGTTAGTTCACAGCTTCCTGCAATCATACAAAATAAATGTTCTCTCTGTTGTGTTTTTCAGTCTAGCCAAAATAAGTTACGTGTCAGTGGTAGATGATTTTGTAATCAGATATGGACCTAAAAAGGGAAAGTTTGAAAAATGCAGACCTCGGATCGCCAACATCAAATTGAAACCTCAGCTCATGAAATTCGTTGCCTCTTAAATTAATCGCGATTCTCGGACCTAAGGATACTTAACGATACTTAACGTTCTGGCAAGGTTCACTGACCAAAAAATAGCTAATCACGAATCACGGAAATCAAAAGGTCATTTCAGTTTTTGATTCACGATAATCAACAAGTGAAGTGCCGTTTTTTATCTTGTTCTTTCGCAAAGAAAAAAGTGGCAGAGAGTGTCTGGCAAAACAGCATAGCAGTGGAAATGAAAAGAAAGACTGCAAATAGCAACTTAGAATAGAACGAATAGAATAATTCTTTATTTAAACACGGTAAAATTCATCAGGAGTATAAGCAAGTAAATAAATGAACTTAACTACCCTAAACAATATGCAAAACTATCTACAGCTAACCGAACTAAGACCTGTTTTTCATGAATGCCGTGTACACAGTACTCAAAAAATCAGAAATTCAGATGAGCCAATCGTATAAATTGACTTAAAGATTTAGCCTCGCTGATATCACAGGGCAGGCTGTTCCAGAGAACTGCTCCGCTTTAACTGAAGCTGTCATGTTCTTCATGAAGTTAGTTCGCGGGAACGGGTCAATCAGTTTGTTAATAGAGTCGCTTAGCGAGTAGCGCGTTTCATAGCGTTTCATATTAGAGGATAAATATCCTGGAACAAGATCATTTAAAGACTTGTAAACCATTGGGGCTTTTTGCATTTGAAACTGAGTGCTCAAGTCTTTCCAATTAAGTTGTCTAAATAAGCGGTTGGAATCTGCATCATATCTAGAAAAGGTTAGAGCAGCACGGTTCTGAAGCTTCTGTAGCCTGTCAAATAAAGTCTTACCACAATTACCCCAGACAATATTGCAATACTCGAATTGAGATTAAGTGAGGGCGTTGTGTATGCAATGGAGAGTAGGCGTTGGAAGAAAATCTCTAATTCTTTTAATCGCTCCTATCCCGGAAGCGATCTTTTAAGATAAATTATCGATGGGCGTTTGCCACCGTAGATTTTCATCGATGAATACTGCAAGCGATTTTACAGAGGTAACTTTTTCTATCGGAACATTATCAATCGAGAGCTCGGGTGGGCTCGACAAAAGTACTCAATTTTTGTCTTGATCCAATTAGCATGAATTCAGTTTTAGCAGAGTTCAGACTAAGTTTGTTGGAAATAAGCCATTTTTTTAGATTACCTAAATCGTGATTCAAATTTAGCTGTATTGAATTCACATCAACATCTGCATAAGTGATGTGTGGGTGTCATCAGCATACATCCTAGGCAGGCATGAAGTTAGGCAGTTTGGCAAATCGTTGGTGTAAATAAGAAATAAAAGGGGACCATATATAGATCCCTGTGGTACCCCACAGTTAAGAGAACAGATTCTATGAAGGGGACCATTAACGAGACATCGTCGTGTACGATTTGTCAAATACGATCTAAACCAATCGAGAGCAATTCCTTGTATTCTGTAAAGGTTCATTTTAGATAAAAGGATATTATGATCAACAGTGTAAAATGCCTTTTTTGAATCATGAAAAACCACAGCATTAACTGGGCCTTTAATGTCGATCGTGGCTTTGTAAATAAAGCTTGATTAGCCACATTACCACGATCGATATTAAAGGCCCAGTCATCAGTAGCTTCAAGGAGACCAGTTCAACATGACACCGGGGCGACTTTCGCGCCGGAGTGAGTTCACTCCGGTTCCCTCTCATGGCTCTACATTTGTTTACGTTATACCACCACAAAATGTCGTGCCGGCGCGAGTCATCCCGGGGTGAGTTCACCCCGGTTGTTGTACCTCCGGTACGAAATCTCGCAACGGTATCATGTCAACGCGAAACAACCACACGTTTCGGTGTGAAATCGGTCTGCCTGTAGACTGGAACGGGTAGCGCATTCGTAATGTTTGCGATTTTGGATCTTACGTGTATTTTATCAGCATGAAGTGTACTTTCAAATAACGAGATATGAAATGACCCAGTCATAATGTAAACGCGATACGAAATCAAAAAGTCATCCCGGCATGAAACTCGCGCTGGTTCGAGGTTTCTCATGTAAACACCCCCTTAGTCGTGTAAAACAACAGTAAGGAAATGTACAAAAAAAACTGCTGCACGTGCAAATTTGTTTTTTTGCTAATTATAGATCTATTGTTGTTGTTTTTACCGTTCTCGTTGCTTTCAACTTGTCTTTAGTATTACTGAATTTTATATTTTCTTTGAGGAATCTATAAATCTATAAATATTAAAGGGAGCTTCGCTTTTAGCACTGGCTAAATCTATATATTAATCTCAATTTCCTGTGTTCGGATGGGAGCCCCGCTTTTGGGTTTGTTCAAATCTACACATGTTGGACATCAAAGACTTCCTGTTTTTCCTAGAAACATATTCAATGATGTACAGCAGCTGTGTATACGCTGTGTATATATTGGCCAATATCAAATTCACCCTCTGTTTTAAATTTGCCTTTCCCCTAAGTAGCTCTAAGTTACTTCTCAGCCATCGCTAATGTTATGGGTAATAAAACTATGTCTAGTTCTCTTATTTTTAATGCAAGAACAAAAGAAAACGTCGGTTAACGATTTATTAGATTAACAGCAGACCTTTGTCTCTTGAAATTCGAAACTAGAATAAGGATCTCGCTCATAGACTTACGGTCGATATTTGAAAAACAGAGAATTTGAACTGAAATCTTAGCTGATTCAAGACGACGCAAAAGACTTGTTTTACTGAGCTATAGTCCTTCATCAGTGCTTTTATCAGAGTGCAAGGAAACCTGAGTGTTTATAGCTTTTTATAAGCTGTACAGCTTACATACATTAATTCATTTTAACTTTGGAAATTATGCGGTGTCTATAGGGTTATTTTGACGTTAGTAGTTTCACGGCAGAAAAAATGTTGAATTCCTGAACTGACATTTTGCCTCCGGCTAGTCGTTAACGTTGTACGCAATTTCTAATTTCCCTCAGTAGTTCAAGGAAGACAAAAAGCAAATACAAAATGATTAGTTACAAACCATCGCTGTCCTCAGCCTTGCTCATTTTGCTAACCCTCGTCTTCGTTTCTTGTAAAAGTGCCCGGCGGCTGAACTGTACTAATGGTAACGTAACCAGCAATTCTAGATGTTCTTGCGGCAAGCAAAGGTAACAATCACTATACAAACACATTCAGTGATAATCCTTTCAAACAGTCGCAAAAAATCTGACCGCAAACTACCGCCAGCAAGTAAATTATGACTTGAAGCTTGAAACGGTCAGCTTCTGAGCATGCACTAATTGGCGGAGACAGCGCATTTTTCCCAGAAATTTCAGGGTTATAATACCTGCTAGTTGCAGCGCATGATCATCACCTTATGGAGAACTATATTGATTAAATTTTTTATTTACTTTGAAATTTACGCTAAATACGATCCTATGAATCATATTCAAGGTGGGTTTAATCTAATTTGTTGTGTGATTCTTGGAAAAAGAAAACGTCTATGATGTCACGTTATATCTCCGTGGTACTTTCCCTACAACGGTGAGATCAAATTTAAACCCTATGAGAAGAAGAAAAACAAATCGGCTGTCTTCTAAGCCAAAACTCTCTACAAGTAGTGTGTGAGCCGCCAGCTGGTGCAAACTTTGCTAAAAGCGTGAATGCTAGAAGAAATTGAGTCACTTCCTAGAAGCGCCCAGGGTGTGATGGGAAGGAGGAAGCCGTCCCCTTTTTTCCGTTCCCACCACACCCTGCTCCCGCAGTGCGCGTCGCGAAGACGACTAGGAACGAGTCTGCTGCCTCCCGTGACGCAGAACTTGGCAAGATTTATGGAGACTCCAGTCTGCTCAGACCCCAGATTCCCCTCCCTATCCACCTTATCGGTGTGATCCAAAGGCATTTGGCACTGGTTTGGTCACAGGAGCTGCCGGCGGAACTGTCGTAGACCATAGCACCGTCCTTTAGGCTCCACACAGGTCGGTTTTCATCCAGGTTTACTCCTTAAGCTTTTTCCGAAACTGCATATAGCTGCAAGGCTACAGAGGTTTGTAATCAGGTTTCACTTTACTATTATTAACCGGAGGCCACTAAATAATTTTTCCCCAATAAATTGCGATTAGTTCAACTAATCGGTCGCGATTGTAAATAGTCAATTGGTATCCCTCCGGCCAGCTGGGATTCTTAACCTTAAGGTTTATATTGCTTCTGCCCTTATTTATGGGCCACAATAAAAACTACCATTACGCCTATAAAGAAGGTTTTTTCCCCTCAATTCAAGACCCCGGAAAGTGTACCCTGTTTGGAGGGACATAGGCGTTTAGGCCAAATAAGGGATTGCCTTCCGATAAAGCTACGTATACGGTCCTGTACACTAGCTTAAAAACTCCATAATTCACTTCTCTGCCTCTTGCAATGGGTGGCCTTGGTATGTGCAGTTACAGGTCATTAAAGTGTGCTGTGCTGGAATAAAATTTCTATTGCTTATGGTCAAATTCTTTGAATTGCAAATGATGAGAGCAAAAGTTGCAAGAAAAATATCTGTGGAGTGGTTTACAGATAGCGTAACCATGCAGATGATCTACTTGGATCTGCTTGGGTATCATTCCTCGCGACAATAACAAATATGCAATTTGGGCCCTTTTGCTCTCTTTGCTAGCTTTAATAACTTGCTTTCAGCAGCAGCTGACAGTTTTTTACAGCTGGTATTGCCGTAACGCCGAGAACTTGTCGGTCTTCAGTGGCGGATCCAGACCTTCAGATACGGGGGGGGGCCGGTCTCCAAAAAATTTTTTTCTCGGCCCTTCGGGCCTCATTTTGCTCAAAAAATAAGAGGGAGGCTGGCCCCACGGGTCCCTCCCCTGGATCCGTGAATGGTCTTTTCTGCTGTGGCTACCCAGTGAAAGATCCACCAGTATTTTTGTCTGGTTTTTCGCCTGGTACTAGATCTAGCGAAAACAGTTTACAGTTGCTAGGATCTTCTTTTGTCTCGGCTGGGAAGAGCCCAGCGCTTGGGATAAGTACAACTCTTTGCATATAAACCGAATGCAGAAAACTGGACTGGGATGATCCACCTTCTAGGATCTTCCTGGTGCTAGGATTTTGACAGTCTCCATGTAAACAGCCCCTTCAAGAAAAGTACAATGATTATTTGCGACAGTAATCAGAGTAACACAATATTCGTAATTACCTGCAATTTTGAGGATGGCTAAGCTTTAAAAGCATGATACCTTACAGTTCCCCCCGCCCGCCCCCTACGGCCCAATACAATGTTGAAAGTGCGGAAAAAAATTATTGATACACGGGTACAGTATTGTATGTGGGGTGGGGTGGAGTGGGGATGGGCATGCGTCGTTTCAAAAAAGCGCAACAAATGTAAGTTTCATTATTGACAAGACTTTTTTCCATGACTGGAGCTAAAACCACTAACTCAGATTTTTAATGCTTCTGTACATCGACTGTGGCTCTTTTCAATAAAAACTTTAAATGCTTAAGAAGTCCAATGTGTAAATCAGGAGATGAATTCAGCCCACCTACTTACTGAAACGACCAATATAAATAGCACAAGAGCTGGTGGGCCGCCAGAGCTAATGAATGCAGTCTTTCGCGTCCTCCATTGGCCAGTAATCGAGGTCAAATAAACGAGGAGCAATCCTCAAGCTGAAGAAGGAATTTAAAATGTTGACTGTTCGAGATTAACATAAAATAAAACACATAATAAGGACAAAATATTCACACCAAGTTTTTTTTGTGATTTTATATAAGATACATATAAATTTTTTTCACCAAGTTATACCAGTAAACTTAGCTAAAGAAGCTTTAAGTTGCATTATGAAATGCTTTAGGCTGCATCCAGCTATTTCTCTTTCGATTCTTTTTTCCCCATAGCGCTTCCCTCAAAAAGGCTCTCATTTTCACCAAAACCAATTGCCTGGCGCTTTCCTCGTAGCCCTGATCGCCGCCGCCGGGAAAAACGAATTCCCATCACACAAACACTGAATAAGAAAAAGAAAAAAAAAAGGGTTCTTGAAGAAAATTTTCATTTACCAATTATCGGATATGTCGCATCCCAAATCAAGGACTTTTGGGAGCTTCAGATTGTATTATTTTTTTAAGAAAATGTCGTTTGAGTAACGACCTTCATCTTTTTCTTTTAATTTGTCTAAAAAAGAAGAGTGGAATCTCGACATTTAGAAGCTATTGGGGACAAGGAAACTCGAAAAAAAAATGAACATTGGAGAGGAATTAGCTGAAGGTTCGAGAGATCAGGGTAAAGCAGGAGCCCATCGGTTGTGGGCTCCTGGGTAAAGTGATTAAACAGTGTTTGGCTTGGCAAGGGAGGCAAGTGTTGGGTTGAGCTGTGTGGTAGGCTTCGAGAAACCGAGAGTTTGAGAAATCGGGATTCTTTTGTACACTATATATGAGACACCAGTCTCTTTAATCTGGAACTATGACAATGATGAGAGTAGTAGTGATCTGGGCACGAGCAGAGTCTTGAGCTCTCTAGCAGGAGACTGGTGACTGCCGGGAACTTACCCACTGTCAATCATTATGGACATGACAAAGCACGTGATCATCATCACAGCAAAGATCTTAGCTTGATTCATCTTGACGTGCTGTAAGTGAAATTAAGAAGAGATACTTATTAAAAGGCTGACTGTACATTTTCTTCCATTATTTAGTTAGGCTTCAGGGAATGACTAATCTTCATTCCCCTGACGTTGCTTACAAGAAATTTTGCTTCTTAGTATTATTAGCAATTATTGAATGAGGCTTAGTAGGATGTGAAAAAATATGCAGATCGAGGAACATTTCAGCCGCAATAGGACAGTTTAAGAGCAGTTGTCTGTAAGATTCGAGCTATATTAAAAAGGCGCTGCCACACTATCTCACCGAATTGGCTAAAAATTGGCATGTAGACTTGATTTGAGGTCTTTAATAAGGAATAGGTAACTTTAGGTTCTAATTCCTCCTACTTCGAAAATTATCGACATGGCCGGTTTTTGGGTGCCTCGGACCGGCGCCATATTGGTCAATAGAAGCTGCTTTTAAGCCTTCGACTACAAGCCTGTCTTCAAAGCTAATCTTCCTTTGCCAATACAGATTGAAAGAACAATCCCTCTTAATTGTATTTTTAGAAACTACTTCGAAATTGATAACGTTTTCGCAACGATCGATTAAACTTTTGGTGGGTATACTTTTTGAATTTTTTACACCCGCAAAATTAACAGAATTTTAAAGGCGTATATCTCTTTTGCCACATCGCATTGAAGCTTGCCAATCTGCCTGAATACTCACTGTTTGTAGTTAAATCGAGTTCATTAATAAAAAAATTGGGCAAATTTAACTGAGCAGAAACAAAAGTAATGAATGGAAGACTGTTCTAGCGACTTTGTCAATAATCTGTACACCGAATACTTGCCAGGTGTTGCCAAAATTACAATCGATAATAGAGTTTCTGTCATTAAATCTGAGTGATCTGTGTAATAAAATTAGCCTCTGTAATATAATCGATAACTCTGCTGCGAAAAACAGTATAAAAAAAGGCAGATTGTATAAGGAAAAGGAAAATGAATTTGTTATGTTTATGCTATGACGCGTAAACAAAATTCAACCATCACAGTCGAACTGGAATTTTCCTGATTTTCCTCCAGTTCCTTTACCGAAACCAGAGCTTTTAAAATTAACCATAGAAATGAAAATTGAGATGTATTACCTTACTCGACGACAAAGTTGCCAGTTTCCTCCTTGATCGAAAAAAAAGTAATATTTTCCCACGCATATCGCGGGTCGTCACGTTCCTTGCCTGGCGTTACAACTCACGTTAAACCGTCTGGTTTCAAACAACTGAATTGAAGAATCCGTGAAAATCTTAGCCAGGCAATAAATAATGGAAGTTGATGTAAGTTATCATTATTAGTGAGCGAGGATCGATGCGATGATAGTTCCAGCTACATGTGTTTACAGCGTTTGAAGATTTACTCAAAACTCATGAGACATGAGCCCTTGAAATAAACATCATTACTTCCGGTTTTAAAAATTGGGCGTTGGCAAAGTAATGAATACACTCATTCTACCTTGTACAACGTTAACAACGGTTCCATGTACAATTTTCAGGTATTTTGTCTCAATCACGAAGCCCGTTTTGAGGAGATTCTTGATAAACAGAAAAATTGGTTTGGAAGGGGTTAAGAAGAATGAGGGATGAGCCCCGGACAGCAAAAACCACAGTCACCCCACCGAAGGGCTTTAAAACTGTGCGCAAATGCCTCACCCT